CTTTTTGGAGTTATGGACCGACGGAAACTTAAATGTTATCAGTGTTGTATGTTCGACAAAACAACAAAAGATAGGAATAGGTAGGGAAAAAACAAGGGTATGTGATGTCGTTATGTTATTGTCCGAGTGAAAAAGTGAAAGTTGTAGTGGGTAAGACACGTTGAAAAAGGAACCTGCCATTCCTCTAACTGAAGGGCATTAGAACTTGGCTCCAAATCAGTAAGCCCCGTTGGAAGACTTCCAGATCTATTGCAGGATGAGTTAAAGAAGTTCGCTGGATCAAGAAAATGCAAATGGCAGAAAACGAAAGTTTATGATAAAGTTTTTAACAGGCATTCAGCAGTGGATGAGAAGAGGCGGATGATTATAATGACGCACTGACTACCATCACCATCAATACTAGATGTTAATCATTGATGGCTAGTAAAGATTTAGATTAGGTTTTGGTGAAGCGCTATTGGCATCGACATTTTTGTTTATGTTTATCACTTATACATGAAAATAGCACACGTGATGCTCATAACAGCGTTGTCCGGGCGAACGAAGTTCGTTTTATCATGATTTGTATGTTTTTATTGTTTGTAGACATTTATATTTGTATGTTTTGTCACGATTCATATTTGTTTTCAGTTAAGGTACAAGGGTCGATTGGACAGCATATTCGATGGGCAGGATCGGCAGTCAAAGCGCGTCAATAGCGAGAGCTATAGAAAAAAACTTATTAGATACATACGGTCGAGAAATGCGGCCAAAGTCGAGGATATCTGTAATCAGGGTCTTGACCCCAATTTTATTGATCAGCGATTTGGAGGTAAGCAGAATTATTCACTTTCTAATTATCCGCACATTGTTCTTGTTTCATTGATTGATTGATTTGCAAAGTCCGTTATTCATTTCGTGTCATTCATTCTGAAAACAGCTGCTTCCTAAGGCCTTTCGAATAGCCTCTGCCCACCACCAAACGGACAACCGTAATCTTGTTCATGTAGTTAGATCGGTATTTTACTGGAATATAGTCTATTTTAATTTGCGATAGTTTTGAGCATATGTTTGTCCACACATCCGTGTTTCCCGGTTTGGAAGCAGCAGTTTTAGACATTTGCCAATGATTCCGTCCCAGGAAAGGTTCAATTCATTTGACCACGTGGGAGAACGAGGATCAGGTGGCTCATTTACCTTGAACACTGGTATTGTTGCGTAATGAAATCAGGCACGTGAAATACGGCGGCGGAAAAAGAGCCGAGACAAACTAAATACCTCGTGACGTTGTTGTTTATTTCATTGTTCCTTATTCCATAGGTTCTTTATTTTTTAAGTTAAGTTTAGTTGTAAATGGGCGAAAGTTTTCTCCTGTATTAAGTTGAGGTAGTCAGCTAGTAAGGATTGGGATACAAAAGAAAGTATTCGTTATTTATTGACTTTCAATAAATGCGTGAATGTCAAATCTGCATTTTACTGCATATAAATTTTTGTTACGTTTTGCAGAAACTCCTTTGACGATCGCCGCATCGATGTGCGACAACCGCGACGTTCTGATGTCCCTGGCTAACGCTGGCGCTCATTTGGACTTCAGAAACCTAACCGGTCAAACGGCTTTGCACAAAGCAGCGGTGCTCGCCTCCTCGAACAACGTCCGGACGTTGCTCGAACTGCGCTCATCTCCGTACTACAAGGATAGGGTCGGTCTAACCCCGCTGTACTACTG